CTTGAAGTAAATCTCATCAAATCTCCACAGTCATGATTCACCCTGGTAACAGCTAAGAGAATCCCAGTCACTCAGCCCAAGTGGAGAAAGGGGAGAAGAAAGGAGAAAGGAGGAATATGCACAGAGGACAAGGGATACAAGTCTGGTTTTCTCTTTCCTTCTTTGTTGTAGTCAAATCCACTGCTGACCTGGCCCAGTGTAGTATTCCTTGTTCAGAGGCTCTTGGCTCCAACACATGAACTAGGTAGAAAAAAAAAAAAACACTATAATACAATCGTGCTCATGAAAGTCAATCAGCTCATCCTCAAAAACTCTGAAGGGGGGAAAAAAGTCTCTCTGAATTTACTTAAAAGGGCAAAACAATAAAAAGGAGCAGCTGCCAACTTGGCTAGCTGGTTTTTCTCTGCATCATGTTTCAGGGCTCAAACAGCTCTGAGGAGACCATAATCACTTAGTCCCAGCTTCTGGCAGCGTTCCTGCCCAAACGCCAAGTCTGAGGAAGTGCACTGCTGAATTACTGAGCCAGAGAATATTAGGCCTGGAAGGGTCCTTCTAGACCATCCAGCCCAACACCCTCATTTTATAGAAGTAAACCCTGAGGCCCAGAGAAACTGAGACTTGCCCAAGATCCCGAAGCTAGTCAGTGGTGGGACTGGCATAGAACTAAGGGGTGCAGAGAGGGTAGCATTTGCCGTGGGCAAAGGAAAAAAGGCCTCATTCCACCAGTAACCCAGCCAAAGTAAGCAGAAGGCCAAATTAGACCCTGCACACCAAACGCGATGAGGAACCAGCAATTTAAAGCAGGGCATGGAGACGGAGTGATGTGAACTCCCGAGTTATTGATGGTCAGAGTGAAGAGTTAGAAGAGTGACTTGTTCTCCCCACCACCCAGAAGGAAGAGGGAAAGAGCTGAGACCCAGTCATCAATCCTGTAAGGGATGTAAAATAACACCAAGACTGGAGACTGGTTAGCCAGAAATACTCCTGCCATCCTTTCAGGCTCCCACACACTCAGACCCGAAGCTAAAAAGTCTTCATGACAGAAACTAAAACAAATAGACATTACAAACTCCTCTGGGAGAGTTATTTTCTCTGGACAAATGTGGGCTGCTTGAGATTACATCTAGGTGGCATGAGAAGCCTTTTGGGTTTTGGGTTTTTTTTTTGCGGAGTGGGGGGGTGTATGTGGAGAGCATGTGCGTAAGTAGCTAGGCATGCACGCATGAATGTATTGGTAAGGAGGAGGAGGGGAAGAGGTTATAAAAAGGACCCCAAGAAGTAAACACTGAGTCGTCTTTGTATCTTTTCTTGACATCTAAGTGTTGATCAGGAAAGCACCACACAGGCTGGCCAACAGCAGGAAGCCTTCGTTTCCAAAGGATTTGTTACAGCTGGTCAGTGTAACTGGATTCCCTTCCAGGGCTGGTTGGAAGCAAGAGCTGGATTTCAAAAGGCCCAGTGAGAAAAATGCAGAGGACGCACCACTATTAATGTTCCTGGTTAGGGGTATTTGATGCAAATTTACTCCAAAAGAATTTCTACCTATTCCTCTCAGGGCCAAGCCCAAAATAACATCTTCTCTTCATTGTGAGCTGAAGGTGAAAGGATAAGTGCATTTCTGAACAGAATGGAGCCTGCTTTTTTATTGTGCTAACTCTGATGCCAATGATATGAGAGGTGGGAGACCTTATTTCAATTTTGTCCTCTGATGTCTCGGCTAAGCATTTAACCTCCCACTGTCTCAGTTGTGTTCTTGCTAGAAATAGAAGTCTTAGATTTGGAGGCAGACCTGTATAGCGGGCAAGCCATCTCATATAGTCCTCAGTCTACCTCTATGTCCCAGGAGAGCCTTCCACTGCTGTGTATGTCAGTCAAACAATCTCACTGCAGTAACTATTAACAATATTCCCCAGGCACCATTAGGAGCTAAGGAAACTGACCACTCAGGTTGCAAATCCTAAGCCAAAGTGAAGGTATTTTGTCTGGACAGCACTAGATGACGTGGCTTGAAAGTTTCCTTCCAGGTCTATGATTTTAGATAGACCTAAAATGCCTGCACTAAATAGCTTCAATCAAATTCATAACATTTCAGCTGAACTCCTCTATGAAGTAGTGAAACCTCATTGTCACATTGGTCACCTGATTGGTCATTTATAACATTGTTTTGCCTAACACCATGTCCCCACAGAACCAATTAAAGTGGTAGAGTCTATATACAGTTTTAGGTGATCTTTGTGTATGTGCCAAGTAAGGGTAAGCTTCAAAAAATACAACCAGGATAATTAGCATGAAACTGCCTTCAATCAGATTTCTAGGGCAAATTAAATTGGGTGTAGAGCAGGAAACCAATACCCCAGAATATCAGTCTCCACAGTGAAGCTGATGGGAGAGAGGAAACTCACCTGTGGTACCTCTGTAGGGAATGGTATGGGAGAAAGCTTGTTGCATCTGACTGAGTCCTACTTTAACTATTTTTAAACTTTCTTTTTCATTGTGAACTTAACAAACACAGGCAAAGAAGACAAAAGAAAGGATTGTATATGAAACCACTTTCTTAACTAATTATTCTTCCTAACGAAGTGCTAAGCTCAGCAGTTTCTATACTAAAAGTGCTGTCACCACTGGCTAAACTTGAGCCCTCTGGGAAAAGCCCCAGTGGCCCTTCCCTAGTTATGGTTCTGTCTCTTTAATCCATGATGATGACAACAATAATAGTAATAATAATAGAATTTACATAGCACTTTGAATATGTTATCTCTGCAGCTGCTTGGAGCCCCTTGCACCCAGATGTCACTTATAATTTTTTTCAGCATTTACCTTTCCCCACTGTCTCCATCTCCAGTCTATCCAACAAAAGCAGAAAAATAACACAAGAAGCAAATTTGTAAAAAAAAAAATTAATTAATCATAAGTTTGTTAAAGGCAATGTAATATAATGAAAACACCTATGAAATTGAGCTCAGAAGACCTGGGCTTGATTCCTGACTGTAACTTACTATCTGTGTGGCCTCGATCAAGTCATTTAATCTCTCTGAGCCTCAACTTCCTCTTCTATAAAATGGGGATAATCTTGAATTTCCTCACCCAGTTGTTGTGAGGAAAACACTTTGTAAACTGTAAAGTTCTACAGTAAAATTTACATTACCACCAACCTCACAAGGTAGAAATGAGAAAAGCATTTTGTGAACCGTAACATGCTGCATAAATGTACTGTATGTGGTTGTTGCTCAGTCGTCCCACTCATGTTCAATTCTTCATGACCCCATTTGTGGCTTTCTTGGCAAGGATACAGGAGTGCTTTGTCATTTCCTTCTCCAGCTTATTTCACAGACAAGGAAACTGAGACAAACAGGGTTGAGTGACTTGCCCAGGGTCACACAGCTAGTAAGTGTCTGAGGTCAAATTTAGACTCAAGTTTTCTTGACTCCAGGCCTGGTGCTCTATCTACTGCACCACCTAGCTGTCCTTTGGTACAATTAAGAATGCTTAATAAAAACCAAACTAAGTATCTTCACTCATTGTGCCTAAAAGTACCTGAAAGACCATAAGGGATTTCAAAGCCATTGCCACCAGAACCATAGGGCTGTATGGGAAATGTTCATCTAGCTGATTCCTCAAGACGACAGTTGTTTAGTTTCCTTCAGTTTGTCTTTCCTCAGATCCATTGTCCACACTCAAGTGTTCAGTGCAAAACTCTAACTACCTGGCTTCGGATGCTGAATTCAATTCAACAATCGAACACTTATCAAGCACCTAGAACCAGTAAAGTACTGTCAAGTCCTGAAATAAATCAAAACCATGAGTTGAGAAATAAAGCATCCTGAATTGAGATAACAGGGTAGCAAACCTGCCACCCTGGGGGATGTCCAGTAGATCTCCCAACTAAAGAGACCCATGAAAAAGTTGTTCTAGTTTTAGGAGAAGAGGGGGAGGAGACAGTATGAGGGAGCAAGGCCTGGTCATGAGACTTCAGTGGCCCTTGGCAATCTGGGCAAGGAAAGCCACTTCATTCTGGCTGTTTTGCCTTTCAAGCCATGAATCCCAATGGAAATGGGCAAGAACCTCAAAGGCCCAGATCCGGCTTGATCCAGGTTCCCTCATAAGGCAAGATCTCAGGATCGGGGAACCTGGGGCACGGTTCAGCTCAACCTAATCAAGAGTAAATATCTTGAGCTCTGGCCTTGGAGTGAGGAGGACCTGAGTTCAAATCCAGCCTCAGACACTTAACACTTACTAGCTTGTGTGACTCTGGGCAAGTCACTTAACCCTGATTGCCTCACCAAAAAGCAAAAAAAAAAAAAAAAAAGAAGTAAGTATTTTAAGAATAAGAATGCAAGGCCATTACTGAAATTCTGACCTTACAAGGAACGTTTAAGGGAGTGGCAGTCCATAGTATATTAGGCATTAAAATTTTCTGTAATTACATTAAGAATTTTGTCAGCATTGTGCTAGGCAGGGATACAAAAGTGGAAACAAAATGGTCCCACCCCTCAAAGAGCTTACATTCTTCTGGGGTGCCAGGGGATACAACATGTTCACAAGCAAGAATGTACAAAGTATACACAATGTAATTTCCAGGGAGAGAGCATGCTAATCACTGAGGGGGTGAAGAAAGGCCTCCAGCCCTGGGTGCACCTGAGCTAGGCTTTGAAGGAAGCTGGTGATTCTAAGCGCTGAAGCCTATTTACAGACTTCTCAAATTCCCAGGCACTTTCAGGATAAGGGCCTCAGGCTATTCCAAGGGGGCAGCAAGGTCTTTTATAAAAGAGAAGCTTCATCTTGGGCTCTATTTTTATTGATGCCAACCCCGGCCAGCAAAACATCCCCTGGGCATGCGCGGCTCATGCCAGCCCAGCTCAACTTGTTGCAAAAGGCAACTGGAAAGTCACATGTGAGAACAGTGGAAAGTACATATGCAACTATTCTTAGTCATGGAATGTATACAATGTCTCTCTGCCCGGTAGTTCTTTCACAAAGCTCCAGAAGGCAGTGAAAATAACGTCAGAATAAACAAATCCTGAAATCGCCCTGTATAAATCACTTGCCAGATGAAGGAGAGTCCTGGGTTTACAATTTCACTTGTGTCCTAATGATGGAAAATCTCAAGGGAGCATAAACCGCTCAGGAGTCAGTGGATGTCGGGGGCAAAAAGCAGAAGGTAACTATCTCTATCATTCAATTACCCTGCAGGTAGAATCTGTCAGCTGTCATCAAAACAAACCCAGGCCAGAAACTTGCTCAGTATTTGTTTTTTATTTACCACATGAACCAAAAAGGGGGGAGGGGGAAGGGGAGAAGCTATGATTTAAAAAAAAAAAAAGCAAGTTTCTCACTCATTTTCTGGAGTGAGCCTATCAGTTACTGGAGGGCAGAGTTACCAGCATTACAGGTTTGGGGAATGACTAAGTCCCAGGAAGAGATGCATGCATTTACTGGATGACAAATCTGTTGAAAACCATGAAAAAAAACAAACTATATTTCTAGTGTACAAAATGAAATTAACTGTTACCTTACTGTGGGGCAATGAAAAGAGCTCTAAGCTTTGAAATCAAGAGATCTGTATTCAAGCGTTTGCTCACCTATTTATTGCCTGTGTGACTTTGGGCAAGTCATTTTCTCTCTCAAAGCCTCAGTTTTCCTCTTCTGTTAAATGAGGGATTTAGGATAGATGATCTGTAAGTTCTCTTCCAACTTTAATGTTCTGTGATTCTGATATTTTAGATTAACATTTCAGCCCCAGGCAGTGAAATCATTTGCAACTTGCACACTTTTTTTTTTTTGCCAGATTAGCAGAAGACCCCAAAATCCAAGTCCTCATTGATTTGTTCACTTTGGCTACAATAAATAGCAAGTAAATAACAAGAGAAAAAAACAGACCAGTAAATTTCAGGAACTTAGATGCAGTGTGACTTCTATTACTCCATCTTTGTTAATCAGTATTCACACTGAAATGCAAAAGATTCAAGAGATTGAGACAGACAGAGATGGTCTGCCTTGATTCACCTGCAACTGAACATCCCAGACAAGCTACCAATCCTTTGCCTCCTCCCTTTACTGCAAGATGGCTGGGGAGTCACCAGAGGGTCTGCTTTTCAAAGATGAGGACTTCTCCTCTGATCTCTTGAGGCAATTAAATGTCTTAAGACAAAAAAGGATCCTCATTGATGTAACTATATGCATTGGGAACTGTGAAGTCCCCTGCCACAGAAATGTATTGGCCTCCAGCAGCCCTTACTTTCAGGCGATGTTCTGCAGCAACTTCAGAGAGAGCGCTCAGGCCAAAGTTGACCTGAAAGGCATTGATGCCAATACTTTAAGTGAGATTGTCCTGTACGTGTACACTGGGGAGGTTCACATCACTACGGAGAATGTCCTGTGCTTGATGGAAGCTGCATCCATGTTGCAGTATCTCAGGCTTTTTGAAGCCTGTTCATTGTATCTTCAGAAGCAGTTGAACCCAAGCAACTGCCTTAGCATGATCAGACTCTCTGACACTTTGAGTTGTGAAAGCCTCAAACAAAAAGCCAGATCAATGGCCCTAAGGTGTTTCCCAGAAGTAGCCTTATCAGAAGACTTAAAGGAGTTATGTCCCTTGGAATTAAGTGACTACCTGGGAGATGATAAGCTCTGTGGTGAGGAAGAAGAAGTATTTGAAACGTTAATGGTCTGGATCAGGCATGACCTCCAGGCCCGGAAAAAATATATCCAAGAACTATTCAAGAAAGTCAGGCTCCAATATGTCCACCCGACCTTCTTCTTCCATTTCATTGTCAACGACTCCCTCCTTCAGTCTTCTCCAGCATGCCAAGCCATTCTGGAGGTGGTAAGGAGACAAGTGTTTTCTTTGTATGGCACTGGCAGCCCAGACCTCAAGCCACTGTGGCATGTCCCTCGGAGAGATTCTTATCGTGACTTCCTCATCCTCTTGGGAGGTAGAAAGGACAATCAGCAAACCACTAGGGAAGTTCTGCTATACCATGAGAAGACTGGCCAGTGGCGGTGCCTCGCCAAACTCCCAGCTCGTCTTTACAAATCCTCCGCGGTCACCTTGCACAGTAGTGCCTATGTGCTGGGGGGCATGTCTGTTGGGGTAGGGAAGCAGCAAGTCAGTCACAATGTATACATCTTCTCCCTGAAACTCAATCAGTGGAGGCTGGGGGAACCCATGCTGGTGGCTCGATACTCCCACAGAAGTACAGCCTATAAGAACTACATCTTCTCCATTGGAGGAATTGGAAAAAACCAGGAGATAATGAGTTCCATGGAGAGGTACGACAGTATCTATGATGTCTGGGAGATCATGGCCAGCATGCCTGTAGCTGTCCTTCACCCTGCAGTAGCTGTGAAAGACCAAAGACTCTATCTTTTTGGAGGAGAAGACATTATGCAAAATCCTGTACGACTCATACAGGTAAATTCATTCTTAGCAACTTTTATAAACTTATCGGACATTTATATAGCACTTTAAGGCTATATAATAGCTTGCATATATCACTTCATTTGAGCCTTACAAACTGTTCTGTGAGGTGCTGTAGGTACCGAGTATTATCATCCCCATTTTACAGATAAAGAAACTGAGGCTCATTATAACTAAATGACTTGCCCACCCCCCCACAACCAGCAAATGTCAGAGACAGGACTTGAAACCTAATTCCAGTCAAGAATTCTATCTACTACAAGGCTTTATATTCACTTTTCTAAGTATCATCTGATGTCACTAAAAGAAAGACTTCTGCCTTTCAATGGGTTTCAATCAATTTCACAAAAACGTATTAGGCTCCTACCATGTACAAAGTGCTAGTGGTTATTGGGGATGAAAAGTGGCACAAGGTGTGATGCTTGCCCTCGAGGAACTTAGAGTCTAATTGGAAAGATATCATATATATT